GAAGTATAGGTGACCTGGGATTTGCAACTGGTGTCTGAAGTCGGGGCAGTCTTGTGGGGCTGGGCCCTTTAACTTGTTGAATCTGTTGCTAATTCCAGGTAGATGGTGTCAGAGATCAATTGAATTATTGGACACCCAGCTGGTGTTCAGAGAATTGGATAATTCGTTAATGTGAAAAGAAACCTCTGATTTGGTGTCAGAAGCATTGTTAAGTAAAAACAGTTCACCTGCATAACTTCCCCCTTTTTGGGAATTCCCTTGCATAATTTCTGCCTTTGATAGCAGAGCTTAGTGGCTCTTTTGATCTCATCATCCAGAAGTACAAAGTTCACCTTTTAAAGGAGAATTAATTATATAAAATATTGTATTTTTAAATTATTTATGTAATTTCTCTTAAGATTTAACATGCATAGGGCAATATTAATTAATTTAATGTGGCTCATCTTTTGTTTTAAATTAAATTTCCCTAAAAATAATTTTTATGTATAATTTTTATGTATAAATTCCTTATAAGGTGTGTTTTCTCTTTATGTGCTCTCAACATTTATCGAAGACTAAATAATTCCCATTGACAAATGGTGTTTTTACTTTAAGCTGCACTTTCCTATAATGTGATTTCAACATATAGGAAAAACCAAATCATTCCATATATATTTTTCTATACACATAACCTTGATGTGTATAGAATCTAGGTGCTTGGAATTTAGGTTAACAAGATGGACGTGGCCTTTTACATCAGGATGTTTAGTATAGAGAGTGTGTTAGGGAATGACTTCCCTTTTCTGGCCTAGAAGTTCTGCTTCTCTGTACTGCAGCACTTAGTTGGTGGACAGGAATGGTCCACAGGCTCTTGGAAAATTTGTTGGTGTGTAGCAAACAAGCTCACTTCTATTGGCTCCTGGCAGGAAGGAAGGATGCAGCAGCAACTCTGCAATTGTGAGCAATAATTTCCAAGACAGATGTAAGACTGTGCTAATATTGTCAACACCTTGTTGATTAACTTTCTTTGGAAGAGCATGTGTAGCAACTAATCAATAACAAGTCCAAGTCTTCTCTTCTCCTACTACTCACTCTTTGGTTGATGGAAGTTAAAAAAAAGAAAAAAGAAAAAACTTATGTTTATGTAATTTTTAACAACTACCAGAACAAATCCTGAGTCAATGTTTGACAATCTAAATCCCTTTAAAGTCCTCCTAGGGATTGCAAGTTGTTTATTGATCAAATACTCGTGTTTAGAAAATGAATTCCTCTATGAAATTGGGGGAAGAAATTCCAGTCATATGAATGAGTTGGTCTTTTCTTCCAAGGCCAATAGTGAAATAATTTATAGAGAAGAATTATAAGCAAATTAGCAATTGAGACACTGGGACTTATCTTCAGAGGAGAAAATCTAAATATTTGTCCAGTTGAAAATAGTCACACTTCTGTCTGTTAAAGAAAAAAGTAAACAAGAGACACAGTATTTAAGTCCTAAGAAGAGTGGCTAGAAAATGAGGATTTAAAATTTTATCCAAGATAAAGAATGAAACAGGCACATTTTTACCTATTTCTCCTTTAAACTAGTTACATCTGTTGAAATTACACATTTATGGACATTAACAATTTGGATAGTTGAGCAATCCTTTATTGCATGTGGTTCCTTAACTATTACTTTTAGGCAGGAGTGATACTAAAAAAATCAGCAACATACATAGCGCTGGCACGGCACTAACCAATCAGAACAGACATTCCCTTGTGCAGGCTTTTTTCTTTACTCTTTATTCTTTATTCTATAGCTGCTTGATCAATAAGGAGTCTTAGTGTAGGACCTTAGGTGACCAGGATGAGGTAGGAGATCTTCAGAGGAAACCAGAGAAGGAGCAACATATAAACTAGTAAGGCAATACCAATCATCCTTGCTGAATATAAACTCTTGCTTTAAGTCCAAAGTCAAACTCCATTATAAAAGACATCACAGTACCATCCCAGTATTTTTTTTTTCTGGGATACTATTTTGTCTTAAGCAATTGTGTTATTAGCATAATCCCAATTATACGTTCTTGAGTTAAAGCTGAAAGAAAAAACCTGAGGCGTAGTCTTCAGGTTAAACGTCAACGAGGAAATGCAAGGTTCTTAACAAAATAGAAAGTTTTAATGTTATGTGCTTGTCATTCCAACCTCTTCTTTTTTCATGCTCTTAAATGTTTTGGTATGTTACATTTAGTTTGGATGGTGTATTAATCAAGGTACACCAGAGGAAAAAAAAAAAAAAAAGACCAATGAGATGGGGAGAGAGAGAAATAAGATTTTTTTTAATTTGCTCATGCAATTGTGGGGACTGGCAAGTCCAAAATCTGTAGGGCAGACAGGCAGACTGGAAATTCAAGTACGAGTTGATGTTGCAGTCTAGCATCTGAATCTGCAGGGTAGGCCAGCAGGTAGAAAACTCAGGCAGGGTTTCCAAGTTCCAGTCTTGAGACATAATGGTGTCTTCATCTGGAGACCTCAGTCTTTGCTCTTCAACGAATAGAATAAGTACCATCCACATTATGAAGAGAGCAATCTGCTATACTTAAAGGCAATTGCTTTGAATGCTAATCACATTCACAAATACCTTCACAGTAACATCTAGACCACTGTTTGACCAAATAATTGGGCATCATAGACTTGCCAAATTGATACATAAAATTAGCCATCACTGATAAGTATTTTTGAAACTTAGTAATAGGAAGGATGATGGAACTGCTAAGGTATGGCAAAATAAAATACCCATGACTAATCCAGGACCTTTAAATATGTACTTTATGCTGGGCCCACTGCCAAGTGCCTCTCTCTTCTACACCTTACAATAGCTTGAAGGGGTAAAGATTGTTATTATTCCACTTTGTACATGACCAAACAACGATTAGGAAAGATTGCATCACTGTGCTGTATTAATTTCCTATTGTTGCTATAACAAGTTAGCACACATGTTGTGGCTTTAAAACAACACAAATTCATAATCTTACAGTTCTGGAGGTCAACAGTCAAAACTGGGTCACACTGGGCTAAACTTAAGGTGTCAGCAGGGCTGTGTTCCTTCTGGAGGCTCTAGGTCTAGAGGAGAGTCCATTTTCTTACTTTTTCCAGCATTTAAAAGCTTCTTATATTCTTTGGCTTGTCATCTCTTCTTCCATTTTCAAAGTCAACGGTCTAGCAGTTTCTAACCTCTCTGATTCTGACCTCCTTTTTGGGATGACATTCGTTCCACTCAGATGATTCAGGATAATCTCCCACTTCAAGATTCTTAACATAATCATATCTGCAAAGCCCCTTTTGCCAGATAAGGCAACATATTCACAGGTTTCAAGGATTGAGACACTAGCGTCTTCAGGGAGCCATTACTCTGCCTGTCACACTTGCTTAGTCTCACACAGCTGATAGTAGTGAAGCCAGGATTCAAACCCAGTCCCATCTAACCTAGAGTCAATGATCTAGACCATGGTGGCTTTTCACCTCCCACAAATACCATGCAAAAGGAATTTAAGTCATTAGGGTGACTATGTATTTGAGCATGAGCAGCGATCATCAAAAGCATTGGTCATAGAGAAGCAAGCAGGTTCACAAAGCACTGCTTAATAAATTATCCACCGGCACATGGAAATGCTTTGTTACAAAGAATGCTTAAACCTCTGGGATTTTACTTCCATGACCAACTGAAACAGTGAATTATTCAGGCTTCCAACACTAAAATAATGCTTCTCTGATCACATAGATTAGTAACAGCCAAATTTGGAGAAGACTGAATTTTTAAAGAGTATCTTGGAAGAAGAAAGAAAGGAGACAAACAAGGACACTTTAATGCCAAAGTTAGGGCTACTGTCCTCACACAGAACACCCCAAAATCTCAAGGATCAGTTCGCCGACTTGACCAGCTCCAAGAAGCCACGTGGATAAAATAGGGTTGGAAGGATTCAGAAAATAAAGCTTGGAAACCCCCAGCTTGAGAGAGAAGGAAGAAGGATGTATTTACTTGGATAAAGAGAGTTCAAAACAAAACTCCGAAAAAATCACAAATAAAATCGCCCAAGGAAAATGAAAAATAATAAAACAGACAATCCTGTGTGAACACACTGTCTATTCTCCTTTAACGGTCTTTTTGCTAATTTCTCAGTTCGTCAAGTTGCAAGACAACATTTAAAAAATGACCATGGAAACAGCCTGTTTGAAGGGCTTGTAGCAGAGCACAGTGGGCAAGCATGCCCAGTTTACAAGGCAGATGCACACACACACACACACACACACACACACACACACACAAACTTACCTTGATTTTTCAGTAACTTGATTTCTACTTCCATTTTCTCCACCCTGGGAGATATTTGGCTGTTGATTTAGAGATATTATCAGCTCTGAAATACTACTATTCTCCTTATGTTTATAAGAAGGAAGATTAAACAAAAAGAAAAGAAATTTCCATCTGCCTTCTATAACACTTCCCTAGGAAAAACTGATTGCTTTATAATAGGCAGCAGTGGTTCTCAACTGGGGCTTTTTGTGCCCCAGTGGGCATTTGGCAATGTCTGGAGACATTTTTGGTTGTCAGAACAGGAGGTGGGGAGGCAGGTACTACTGGCTTCTAGTGGTAGAGGGGATGCTGCCAAGCATCCTACGATGCACAGGACAGCTCCCATAACAAAGAATTATTCAGCACAGAGTGGCAATAGTAATAAAGGTTGAGAAAGCCTGACCTATAGCCCAGTGGATAAGAACAGGGCTCTGGAAGTAGATAGCCTGTATTCAAATCCTGACTTCACTACAGATTAGTCTAACACCTTAATGTTTCCATATCTCCACTTCCTTATGTCTAAAAGAGATAACAAATACACCCACTTTAGAGGGTTCTTGTGGGCATCAAATAAGTTAGTCAAGGTAAATGCTTAGAGTACAGCCTGACAAATAACATGCATATCACAAATGATGCACATATTGTTAAATATATCTCCACAGACTACTAACCTCACAGGCTAAAAATTGCTTACCTGTTTAGCTTCCTCAACTCACTCACTGAAGTGTGAGCATCCTAAGGACAACACTGGATCTTTATTGTTTGCTTCACCTCAGCACCAAGCACAGAGATTAAGGAGACTTAGAAGAAATGAGATGCCGAAGATTCAATCCACAGATGGTAGCTATTGTCATTGGCCATTGCCCACATCCACTCAGCCCTTGGCACTCCAGGCCCCATGGCTTGATGTTCTCTATGATCAAGGGCTTTCTCTGACCTGAAGTGCCAGGGACTCAATACCACCAGTAAGCAGCCCTCAATCAATAACAGATGGAATTGGTGTATTAATACCCCAGTTCCCCCGGCCCTCACCAGCGTCACTGTGAAGCACATGTTCCCCACTATCTCAGGCTTCCCCAGCAGGTGTAAGCTCCAATTGCCCAGAACAGTGCCTTGCTTCATGACATGCCCTTTCCTGATTGCTTCGCATCCTTGTCTTATTTTCCCCTTCTTCTGCCAGTGTTTTGTGGCTTAACCTCCCACATAAGCGACTATACTCTGACCCTGGTCTTCGAGCTGGCACCGGAGCAACTACAACTAACACAGCACTCCAGGAGTAGGATGGACCAATTTCTCCAGGAAGATGATCTCCCTGACTAAATATTCCTGCACATTCATGGGAGATAAAAAATCACAGTGCTTGGACTCGGGCTTCACTCCTGTCCATTTCTCATCTCTTGGGAAGCACGTCCCTTTCCACAAGATGGCAGGTACGGAAACGGGAAGTAGAAGGGAAAAAAATCCATTTTCAGAGTGATGAACTAAGTAATTTGCCTCCAGGTCTGAGACGGGTATGAAATGAAACTTGAGGTAATCTTCCGAGCAGAGCTTGGGGGCACCTGTGACTTTTAAATGGAGCTACTCTGTTTCTAGGGAAATACATACTTTTAAAAATTATGCTTGAGGCTAAAAGCTTCCAACAATAAATCTCCCGGAGGCGCACTCCTCTAGGGACAAATATACCGGGAAATCTTCAAAGAGGGTGCTCGGTTTATCACTTGGTGTCTCTTTCCCACTGAGGAAGGAAATCCCTTTGTTTCCACTGAGAAATCAAGTCCACTGGGACCTCTTCGAAGGATCAAGAATTCTTCAGCTCCTCCCATCCCCACCACTTAAAGACCACAGATCATTTCATTCTGAAAATAATCCTTTGGGGGTTGAAAGCAGACAGCATATTAGCAATCGATGCCGTTCCTCTTGACCTGAAGAAAAAAAAAGAAAATCAAACATACAAATGACAACAAGTACCCATCCTGCTGTGAAATAAAAATATAATCTCACATCTGTTCTTTTATCTTTCATGGAAAACCGGGTGATACTATTACTAAGAATTTGTTGAGCACTTACTATGTGTCTTAGTCTGTTTTCTATTGCCTATAAACAGAATACATGAAACTGAGTAATTTATAAAGAAATTTATTTTTCACAGTTATGGAGGTTGAGAAATCCAAGGTCAGGGGTGTGCAGCTAGTGACAGTCTTCTTGCTGATGGGGACTACAGAGTCCTGAAATGGCCCAGGGCATAGCATGGGAAGGGGGCTGAATGTGTTAGCTCAGGTGTCTCTTGCTGTTCTTATAAAACCACCAGTCCCACTCCTATGTTAACCCATTATCCATTAATCTATGAATGGATTAATTCATTCATAAAGTCAGAGCCCTCATGACACAATCACCTCTCAAAGGACCCACCTCTCAGTACTGCCACATTGGAGATTAAGCTCCAACGATAGTTTCAGAGGAGACAAACATTTAAACTGTAGCACTCTGTATAAGGCACTTAAATTTATCTCACCTAAAAACTCCACAAGATAAGTAACAGTATGTCCATTTTACAGATGGAGAGTCTGAGAGGCAAAGCTTTAAAAAATTGATGAAGGTTATGCCATTAGCTCATAAACAGCAAAGCTGGGATTTTTTTTTAACCCAGGAGGGCCTGACTTTAGAATTTTACACTCAGTGATTGCCTTACGTGAAACTTAAGTCAATTTAACTAATAAACATCATCTGAGGAAAGCTGATTAATTATTCCGCTAGATATCAGGCAAGAAAACAGGGAGGATATAAAAACTGACAGTCGTCAGAGGGAAAAGCCCAATGAATGGGGAATAATTGCTGCCGATGGCTAGTGAAGTCTTCCATCTGAGATTCCATAATCATCATAAACTTTATTTCTCATGTGTACATGAAACGTGTGCAACTACAGTACAGTTGTTGAAGAATCTAATTTGCAGGAAAATGCAATTAAATCTAGGAGTAACAGAATTAATAGAAAAATGAGAGTTGGAGATGAATCTATCCTCACTAAAGAAAATGAGGAAAAGAGACCCACGTTCTACTGCACTGAGACCAACACTGTGACTGGAAAACCTCACAGTCTCCTGCGAAGTGAATGTGCTCAACTCTCTTCACATTCCCCATCTGTCTCACACTCAGAGCCGTGTGTCAGACTGCCCTAGCCCAATTCTGAGCTCCAACACTCACTAGCTATAGGGGCTTGAGAAGTTCCCTCATCTTTTGTGAGCCTCTGCTTCTCACTAAAATGCAGCCAGGGCTAACACCTTCATGAAAGGATTGCTGTGAAGATGAAATGAGAAATGCATGCAAAGGCATGACTCCGTGATCAGCAAGTAATAAGCACTCAGTAAATATTCCTGGGTCTCCTTAGGCCCTCACCTGAATCCTGAGAGTGCCAGGCAGTGCACACAGACACCACTGGCCCCAAGCTCTATCCAGTGGTCTTTGAGCTTGGCTTCCTTTGCAGACCAGAGCAAAGAAGGGAAACCTTGGTTAAGTGAACTAGCCTCTGCATTGAGTTCCTGGGTGGGGGGACTCTTACACTGGTGATTCAACCATGTATAGGACTCCAAGTTCAGGGGAGGGCCCTCTTTCATTCCCAGCCCCCTGGGATAAGATCTTACAGGGATGAGCCTAGAAGAAAATCCAGCTGTAAGTGCATGGATTCTCATGGTGCTTTGGTATGCACTGAGCAGAAAGAAAATGCTTATAACCAGGGGTAGATGCATAAACAGGTGGGTGTTAGGAAGACTGATGAGTGGCCCAGAATATGACCTCTTTCTTCAGAGGTTCATAAAAATAGCCCTTATTGACTGAAATTACTTTAAAGAAATTATTCCTAGTCCTCATCATATATCAATAAAATTGTCCCATTATCTCCAGTTTACAGGTTGGATTGATCTTAAAGTTCAAGTATTTTACCATAAAGCCCCAGCTGGGAAGAGGCTGATTTGGAATACAGACTCAGACATCCTGGTTCTGCACCCTGTAATCTTTTCACTCTCCCTTCTGTGTCCCTCTTGAGTGATTAGTGTTCCTACAGATACCTGGAAACAGTGGGCTGTAGACAGAGAGATGAGCTGCTCAGCTCAGACCTCCTTTCAGGAAAGGCCTTACCATCTAGCTGAGGGGTGTGGGTCAGCAGACTGTACTCCCCCCCTTGCTATCTGTTCTTGAATGCAGGGACTGCCACAGCTGCAAAGTGCCAACTGAACCCAAGTCATGCTTTCAGAGCAGCTCCCATAGTGATAGAGCACGGTGGAGGCATAAAGGCCCAGTCATTTCCGTCCAAGGCAGGACACTCTGATGGGCAATACCAGCCCCAGAGCTCCCTAAAGGGTTGGCAGGGATCAGAGTTTCATGTCAGTTCAACATCTGCCTCTGCCCAATCTTGCTTTCTCCCCTTCTTTTTATAGGTGTTAATCCCAATAAATACCTTAAACTCCCAATTTTGCCTCCAAAGAACCCAACCTGCAGTACAAAATGAAGTACACCGTGTGGTCTACAGAGCCACCCTGATCCTAAAATCACAATCATTCCCATTCAGAGGGCCCAGGGAACTCAAGTCTTTTAAGCCACGGAAAGGTAGGCTCAGGTAGGGAGAAACAGAAGTTGAGTTTTGGAGTCAAAAGACCTCTATTGGACCCTTAGCTCATCCACTTTCTATCTCTGTGTTAGGCAATCCAAGTGACCTCACTCAACCTTATAGGAAAATTAGAACTAGTATTACTTCATGGGATCAATCAAGACAATGCAAATAAAAATCATAGTGCATTTTATAATGCTTATCACTGTCATCCCGACATATCCCCCTCTTTCCGTTATAGATGAATGGGCACAGTTATTTGTGGCATGGGAGAAATGCTTCTCTCTTTCCCAATAACTCAATTCCCCTCTCACTGAAGGAGAGTAAATTCCATTCTTTTCCAAAAGTCTCCAAAATCAGCAGGCCCAGCAGCAAGAAAGCGAGGAACATTGTTATTCTTGTACAGCAAAGCTGTAGCATATAATTAAATCATTAAGAGGCAAATTAACTCCTCTAGCAATACTCTTCTAAGTATTTGTGGGCAAACCCATTAGCATTGTGCCAGTAAACTCTGAAATTTCTTTGCTTGCAGACTGAGTAACTACAGCCTCAAAGGCAAGGGGTGGGGTGGGTAGTGTGGTGTATGGTGATTTTACCTACCATGGAGATACAAGGGAGTGTTAGGTTGGGAAATAGATAGGATGCTAACGGTGTATTGTGACTGTATTTCATAAACCCTTGAAAATATAGCTGCCAAATTTCTTCTACATAGAGCCAACAATAAATCTATTTGTTTCCCAGGAAAATCATTCAAGAGTTTTTGGTTTCCCATTCACTTAGTCTTCATCAACTGCCCCCAATTTTGCTGAATTCACTCAGCTTGGATTATTTGGTTCTGGAGAGGACATAGCTAGGCAGGGTTACTGAGTCAGTAGAATGGGCATCTTCCAGTGGGACATTTTGGAGCTGTTTATTTAGCAGGGTTTTCAGAATAATGAATATAAAGTTGGCTTTGACTCTGTAGCCAAATATATATTTATGCTATTGACTCAAATTCAAGCTGACCAATCTGGTTGGCTGTCTGCAGCCTTCAATTCTTCAACGCTTGAGTGTTTCAGTCAATATGTTGATCATTTATATGATGACCCTGCTTAAACCATTTAATAAAATGTAAACAACATGAAAGTGTATTGGAAGTCAACATAGCTCATTATTGCTGCCTATACACTCATCGAAATCCTGAGCAGGGCATCTGACCGGATTGGAGGTTTCCTCCAGAGTCATGCAAAAATTTCAGCTGTGAAAAAACTTTTTTATGGCATGTAAGATTAGCCCACACTAATGCAAGGTCAAAAATAATAGAATCAATAGGCAAACTCAATACTGTTAACATTTTGAGAAAATTACTACCAGAAAACAATGTCAACAACAGATTGAAATGGGTCTCCAAAGTCGTCCCATTGATTTCCTTTCACTTTGGTGACAATCTAACTCTTTCTTTTATGCAATATGGAATGTTTTAGCCTTCTTTTCCCCCAGCTCTGCTTTAAACATGGAATATTTCTGTTGTACTCTTTTTGACTGATGTCAAACATTACATGTGTCACAAAAACTTATATTGTTGTCCGTATCTAAGACAACTGAATATGAAAATTTATTCCATCATGTAGAGCCTTTCATGGGTCTTTAATTTAGGGCTCAGTTGATAAATTCAAGAGTTATTTTAATTATAGCAAGGCATCCAAATGCAAATGTAAACAGTGTCATTAATAAATTATCAACTAAGTAAAAACCTAATACAGGAAACAGACGGACTTGAACATAGTTTTATATCAACTATATCGCAAGCATTGTCATCACCCTTGATGTTTGAAGGAGAGCTTACTGTTTGGCAGATCCAGGTTCTTTAGTATTGAGAGATGAGACAGTAGCCATGCATTAGCAAAGGAGTTAGCAACCCCCACTCCACCCAAGACTTTTCTGCCCCAGTCTTTCCATTTTAGTCAAAGGCTCTATCACCCCCAACTCCAACCACTGATTTATTCAAACTAAAACCTTAGGAATTATCGTTACTTTCTCTTCTCATAGTCAATCCTCTTTCTCATAGCCAATCCATCAGCAAGTTGTGGCAATTTTAACTCCAAATTATATTCTGAATCCATTTACTGAACTCCATCTCTGGTTATGCACTGCAGTAGCCTCTTTCTTGGTCTCCTTCTTCCGATTTTCTATTGAACAGGGCATTACAATCACTTAGAAACACAAATCAAGTCCTTAAAACTCTTTCATGGTGTCATTGCCCTTAGTATAAAACCCAGACCTCCATATCATTACCTACCGGGCCCTATATAACCTGTCCTTGTCCACTCTCCTTCCTC